CATGGAGCCGCCTCAGCGGGCTGGCCTGACCCGACCTGGAGCCGCCTCGCCGGGGACCGGCGGCCGGGGAGCCGCTGCCACGGCCGGGCCCGCACCACCCCCTAGCGCCGGCGGCGAGAGCGGGGGCGCGGAGCTCGCCCAGCCCGCCCAGCCCGCCCAGCCCGGGGGCGGCTCCGCGCCCGCGCCTCGGCCCAACCGCGCCCCCTGGCCCGCCCTTCCTGCCGCCGCCACCGCCCCTCGGTCCGCCCCGCCGGGCCGGCTGCGCTCCGTGCCGCTGCTCCGCTCACAGCCCGCCGAGCCGCAGCACAGCCCGGCGCCATGGCCCGCGAGGAGGTGGCGGTGGCCGGCGAGGAGGCGGCGGCGGGCGAGGGCGGCGGGCTGCTGCTGGAGATCGTGGGCTCCCCGCTCAACCTGAGCCTGCTGGGCCTCTGCCTSTTCCTGCTCTACCAGATCCTGCGGGGCGAGCGGCCCGCGGCGCCCTCGGGAGAGGCGGACCCGCCGCCGCTGCCCAAGATGAAGCGCCGCGACTTCACGCTGGAGCAGCTGCGGCCCTTCGACGGCGTGAACGACCCGCGCATCCTCATGGCCGTCAACGGCAAAGTCTTCGACGTGACCCGCGCCAGGAAGTTCTACGGGCCCGGTGAGGGCCGGGGCGGGCGGGGGCGGCGGGACGGGCCCAGCCCAGGCACCCGCGCCTTGTGCCCGGCTGAGGGGAGCGAGGGGCGGCTCGGGGCCGGTGCTGGTCGGAGCGCCTTCCCTCGGCGGGGATCAGCGCTCCTCCCTGACCCTGACCCCACACCGGCCCTGCTCCCGATCCGCTTTTGGAAGGGCTCGGCTTGCTTGCGGCCTGGAAGGCTGCGTCCCGGTGAGGCGGCGGGCAGGGTGGCTGCTGCCGCCCGGGCTCCAGAGTCGGGCCCCGGTGTTGCAGAAACTCCGGCTTTGCCAGCTTACATTGCTTCATTGCTCTCTGTGCTTTCCCATGGCAGGCTACACGTCCTGTAAGGGGTTGGCTTTGTCGGCCTGGGGTGCCCTAGCTTGATGCCAGGCAGCAGAAGCGAAGTGTTCTCTCAGTGTTGACATTCCATTCCCAACTTTTAGTGGATATCACTCTATTGCATAATATTTATACTAAATACCTGGCAATTTAGATTAAACCAGCTTTCTGCCAGGAGCATAGTTCAAACGTGCAAAGATTGAATAACCTATGCTCCTAGAGCAGCGAGTGATGGGGTTGGTGGAGTATGTGCACCCAGATGGAAGAGTTTAATCACCTCCACGAGGGCATGGGGTTTTATTTTTATCAGAGGCTGCCTGTTAAAACGGCTCACTGAGGCTTGCAGATTTGTACCAGGATCTGTCTGGCATAACCACTCTTGAGCTGTCCAGACAGCYTGGTAGCTGCAGTAGTGAGCTGCCAGTGCTACTTAGAGACAAGGAGAACTSTGCAGGAGACACCATGTTTTTGGAAGCAAAAAGTTACTGCTTTTGGGTCAAACATAGATGAGACTGTCACTGAAATATGCSAAACTGTAACTCTGCATTGTGCAGCAGTCAAGATGATATATATAGCTGAGTTAAATGTGCAGTTTTGTATTTGTGTGAACTAAAACCCACTTGACATAAGGTCCAAGCTGTGGACRCTGCCTTCCTTGATGACAGTAAAAGCTGCCCATTGCATCCACTTTGGTGAATGGTTCACCAGAGTGTTCACTGGTGGATTTCAATTTTTATAGAAAAGTAAGACTCTTTTTATTAACTTCAGAAAAAAACACACTCTGGAAGATGGCATGTGCTCTGCAGTAACCAAACTTCACGTCTAATTTCTTTGAGCTCCCTTYAGAAGAACTTTAAGTGTCTAGTTGAACATGCAGTATCTTAATTTTTAGTTTGTCATGCAAGGCAGTTAATCATTAATGAAGTTTTGCAAGAGTTTGCCTTGATATCTATGATCTGCTGTGAGTTGCATGTTTTGATCATTTGAGTTCATCTTGTATTTTGAAAATTTGAATAGATGTTTCCTCYAACTTGATAATTTCTAGTTGTTCCACAATATTTTCTGTCAAGCCATTCTTTCATCTCCTTGATGTCAGGAGAATCTGTTAGAAAACTTTTCATTTTACCCCAGAYGTACAAATCTTTCCTCTGTTCCTTGTTCTAAAGATGTGCTTCCCAGTCTGTGTGCTTATCCTTACCCTGTTTATGTGTGCCATGCACCGTTGAGTGCTTCATTGTCCTGATGTTTCAGCAAACTCAGTATCTTTCTCCATGGCTCTGTTTCTTGTCCTCTYCCTCTGTTTTCCCTTATTACCAATTAGAATAAAACTTGAAAGCATTTCAGAAGCTTGAGGCACCTGATGCACAGGTCAGGGTAAAATCTTCCCATCTGTTTTAGTTTGGGGACTGATCCATGAAGATCACAAAGTATCCATTACCTCTGCAATAATGCTGCTTATGTTTTTATCTTAMAGAGGGTCCATATGGGATTTTTGCTGGAAGAGATGCGTCCCGAGGTCTTGCCACTTTCTGCCTGGATAAGGAGGCACTGAGGGATAAGTATGATGACCTCTCTGATCTCAACGCTACACAGCAAGAGACCTTGAGGGACTGGGAGTCACAATTCACTTGTAAGCAATTTTAAACCTATTTTAAACCTATTTACAAAGAAATTGTTAACTGGTAATAGGAGAAGCAGGAGTTAAAATGCTGTAACCAGCTGGAAGCATCATATATATGATGAAAATGGCATACACCATTAACTAGTATAGTAGAAATCAAATGTGTTTTCTTTTTATATCTAGTGTTGAAAGATTTACTATAACTAGCTACAATGGAGTTTTCCTCCACATGATGTCATTAGAAATCTCAATCCTGACCTGATGTGCCCCTACTATTTTGGCCCTCTTCCTGTTTTAATTAAGACTGTTAATCATGCCACACTTGAATGGCTGTTTTATTTTGCTAACAAGCTTGTCACAGAAACCAGAACTATGCTCCCAAATATCRGACTTGAACTGGTGTTAAAATCTACCTTTACAAGTGYTGAGCATCAGGACTGACTGCACTCTTTTTGTTATTGTGTTTCTATTAAATATGGCAATTAGTTGCTTTAAATTGTTATAACAACATAGCTAGTCTGAAATACCTGTAAACAGGCTTCTTTTGCTTTGTTGAAGTTGACAGATAGGCAACATAGTATAGCTCTCAGGCCTTACATGCATATGATCTTCACATTTTTACATGCTCAAAAGAAGATATAAAATAAATCAGAGGCTTAATCACATAATCCGATAACAGATCCATCTTCATCTTTGGAGGAACGATCTTCCTTCTGTCCTACTGAGTGTTTTCAATACACATTACAAAAAATAAAACCCCTTCAAAGTTGTGTGTATATGTGCACATAGGTATGTGCGTGTTTAATAGATGATGTAAATACTCTTAACAATGACATTGGTTGAAAAACCAGTTTTGACACTGGCAAGAGAAAGAATCTAATTCAGGATTCTGTTTCTTTGACTGKGTGAGTCCCTCAGTTTGTGTTCATTTATCTCTTGGTTTAGGCAATAGAATGAGAGTTGCAGTTACATAYGCTTCACACAATTCTTACTACAACATTAATAGTAGCTGAGGTAGTAGTTGAKTTTAGCTTTTCTCTTTTACCCTAGTGTTTGGATCAAGTTGCTCAGGGCTCTTTTATTACAATATAGTCATCCTCCTCATTCAGAAAACAGTCGGAGGAGTTTAAAAAGGTGTCTCTTCAGGGAAGAATAATTACTTCTTGTTTTTTGTTTCCCCAGTTAAGTATCATCATGTTGGTAAGCTGCTGAAGGAGGGGGAGGAGCCCACTGTGTACTCTGATGAAGATGAAAAAGATGCCAAGGATGCAAAGAAAGAGTAGATCATGCAGTGAGGAACAATCTATTTTTGAATCATAAAGGATCATTTGTAACATTCCACTTCTGTTTCACAAGGTGCAGCAGCAGCAACGCTGACAAGAGGTCCAGAGTTACAGTGAATTGTTTCTTTTTGAAGGTTTCCTTTTCAAATTCAGTGGGAAACTTCTGAAGGTCTATGATCTGTCTTCCTTTAAACCCACATAATAAGAAGTATGCATGACAAATGTCTGTGCAAAATTAAAATGCAATTTGGGCAATAAAGGACTGKTTTTCTGCTATCACCATTTACTGCAGAGTAGATAGAAATTAAGTTTTTCATTACCAACCTAGCACTGTGGGCACAAGCACATAACTTCACATATGCAACACAAACACCACTAAAYCTTCTAAAGTGTTAGCTTCTGCAGGATCTGGCCCCAAGGTTGTAATTCCTTTAGAAAAGGGACTATATTTTGTTTGTCCACAAAGCATCATACTCATTTGCTGTGCAATGTAATTCAATATTATGTAAGATAATTTGGCATTCAAGGAGTTGCATTAGCGACTTACAGATGAAACACTAACTGCTTTTAAAAAATAAGAATTTTTGAGAGGTTAAATCACTTTTAGATACTTAATAAGGCCTGATGAATACTTGATGTATTCAACATGCATAATTCTGTATGGACTAATATTATTTGTTCACTTTTAAAGCACATCTATAGTGTTACAAAAGTTTAGATAGCGAGTGGAACCAGGCATCCCTAAAGGTACAYCATGGAGTGTGACTTGACTGTTGTTCATTCAATTTTGTTGTTAGTAAAAAACTCTTCTGTGAATTTTAATGGAATTACATTAAACATGGAAGATCAGCTGCTCTTGATTCCTAGGCATAAAAAAAAAGAAAGTTGCTGGTATGGCATGATTAGCAAGTGCTCTTGTACATGCACCTTTAGCTAGCAGAAATAYGTTACTGGTCAACGTAACTTGCACAAGTTTCCTGTACAAAATAAAACAGCATAAGCTATTTCTGTGTTGAGGCCTTTGTTGGTTTGGAATGTTGCCATTAAAAGAAATGGCACAATCTCATGCATAACTAGCAATGTTATACCTGTGGACCTGACCTTTGAGTTGCTTTTTACTTATTTGCTCTCTTGGCTCACCTCTGTGCTTAATTACTAAGTTTTTTCTAAGTGACCTGCCTCCTACCAGACAGGGCTGGGTAAATGGTTATGACCAAGGAAAAATGTAAATGTTCATCATCCAAAATACTTACATAAAACTGWCTTATAAATTCCAAGATAACTAAGGATTTGCTGATCACTTGTAAACTTGTTTCTTGTCCAGTTGATTCTGCTAGTGCAGAATATCCAGGGTGCCTGTCTGGTGTAATTCCTTCTATTTCATKTCTCTGGCTCAGCTGTCTGGTTGTTTCAATTTGGCAACACGATCAAAATGATGAACTGAGTCCTGAGTGGGAAGGTGTAAAYTAGGCAAAAGTGTTCGGAAGTAGAGGGTGTTGCACAACAGCAGCTTTCATAAACAAGTTGACACAACATGTTAAAGTGCCTGAGAGCATTTGTGGTGAGAACAACTGACTCTCCCACAGTCCCAACACTGTCCTAGCATTTTCTTTAGGTTGCACTGGGCCTTCTGATGAAGAGTATGGTTGTTTGAGCCAGARAGCTTGTGTAAAGTGGTACTGTATGAACTACCTAAGGAGGGTCTAGACACATGTAGACCTTGTCATGACCTTTGTGTTGCTATTTTATTTTTAGAGACATTTATACTCTTTGCAAACTACTACTAATGGTTTACCTCAAATTGGAAATGTGCTTTTATTTGTTTAAGGCAGAAAATAAAATACTCTTGAATAATGGTGGTGTTTGTTTTTTTATTTACTGCAACCAAATGTTACATTTAATCCTCCCCTAATGTTTTGAGTTTTATATTGTCTTTCTCAATGTCTCACATTATCCAATGCATAGATTGAGAAAAATATGTTCTAATGGAATGTTTGTCAATGCAGTTCTCTAGTATAACTTTAGTGGAATATTAAATAGAGAACAYGCCCTGTTGCAAATACAGAATTAGGCAGAAAAAAAAGAAAAAAACCCAAGTAATTGTTTATTCTGATTAAAAGCTGGAGCTTTGGAAGGCTAATCTACCCTTCAGTACCCAACCACCTGACTTTTAAGTTACTCCRTAACATCTCCCAAGGAACAGAACAYTATTTWAAGTATTAATCTGTATATTAGAACACTATGCATCACAAAGAAAAATTGTAACAAAAACCATGCAGAAARCAGGCAGTAACACAAGACAAACCTCATTGKTAATACKTCTTGGGGAGGAAGTATGACACTTTGGTAAGATTGTTACCCTTTCAGAGAAAATTTGTGACAGGRGAAGAAGTGAGTCACAAAAGCWGCTTATAAAGCAGCAGGCATGGATTTTACTTCCTTTCAAAGTGCTGAAGAAAATGGATGGGTTTTAGCTTCTTTTKTACTCTTCGTTCATTACAACTTGAACCCTTCCTTCAACAGTGACTGGCAGCGATGACTGTGCAAAAAGAACCGTGCCAGCAGCTCCTCAGGCTGTACATTAACCAGGTAGGGCATGATGACCAATTAAATGCAGAGACTGTCACCAGTCTCCCTCATCTGATGTGTCCAACACSTGTCACAAGGTACACTGATAGAGATATAYTCTARGACAAATCAAAACAATTGGGTTGCATCTCATTTYCAACCACGTCWKTCATACTGTCAACTGCTTTGTAAAATTCAGCTATTCTTTCATCTGGACCTCACCTGCCCTTTATTATCTCTTACTTCCTGCTGTTTCAGTTAAACAAAAAAAAGTTCAGTAATKAATGCTTCTGTGGAGTTACATAAGGGGTTTTACAAAAGGTGAGGCATTTCTATGCATTGCCTGGAATCCCTGGATTAAAATGAAAGGGCATTATATCATAACTGCTGTATTGTATTTCAAGCAGATGGACTGATTTAATAATGGGCATTGTGTATTCCTGCTTCAAAACCAGCCTGTAGGATTTGGACTTCAGCATTCAGCACAAGGTACAACCCACAGGTYACATATTTTCAGCAACAAAGCCTTGTTCAGCCAACTTCTGCTCCTACCAGCTCTATGACGAGACGTTCACTATTTCTGCACAGAAAGTTAGATTTGATGGCAAGATCTGCAGTCCTGGGGCCCAACTGCATACATGTCAGAGTAAACAGTGTTTCCATAAAAAACACTCAGCCTCTTGAAACACCAGCTGGGCACAAARGCACATAGCAGGTTCAAACTGAAAGGTGTGAAATTATGCCAGCAATRTTCTACATTTCCATTGCTGAACTACATCAATGCTGCTTTAAATGCATCTTTTCACCTAATAAATGTACTAATTGCTAAAACATTCTGTAACCTTCATTCTTGGGATGTGACATTTATAACTACTACAATCCAATCTACAAAGCCATGCATTTTAAGTTTTAAAGGAAGCTCTTACATGTATCTTTAAAGCTCAGCCTTCAGGATCATAAAATTATACTGAGCAGCCCAGTGTATGGAAGGATGGGACTCAAATGTGCTGACAGGAAAAAGRAATTCGTGAGTGTGGTAAGGTGCTGGCAAAAAAGAAACTGTGGATGCCCCATCCCTGGAAGTGTTCAAGACCTGGCTGGACAGTGCTTGGAGTAGGTGGAAGGTGCCCCTACCCTTGGCATAGGGGTGGGAACAAGACAGTCTTGAAGGTTCCAATCCATTCTATCATTTCATGAAAAGTAAAGCATTAATATTGAAACACCTGAAATCAGGTTCTAAATAATGTCAAACAGGAAACACAAAAGTTCTCTCTCGGTATGAAGATTACAATGATGTCTCACATTTTAAAGTGCATGCATATTTTATTTACTACCAATGTTTTACATGGAATGAGGACTTGGAGATAAAGCAAACCCTCTATCAATTTCAATCAATATAGGTGAACGCACGAAGCAATTACAGAAATKGAGTATTTATTTGTTATTGGTCATTGTGACAGCATGTGGATAAAACACTGGAAATTTACACCAGAGAAGGAAATCTTCAATTCCTTCTCCCCCAGATTAACAAAAAGAAATACTTCCTCACCTGTCATCGAAAGGCCTGTCTCATGGGAARGGGCTACTCATGGACACAGAACTGTCTATAGATTGACAGAGGGGGAAGTTTTGTCATCTTTAATCTGCAAATATTGCATAGAGAAAAAAAACACCCTTGGTATGTCACATCAGTGCAACTGAAAACATTTTACACAGTCAACAAATACAATAGTTGGTCTTCATTTTAACTGTATAAAATACTAAAAAGGAGACTTAAGAGGGGCATAAATGTTCTCCAAAATAGTCAGAAAATATTTCTGTCAAGAAAATAAGATCTTTTTAGATAAAAGCAATAGATTAACAGTACTTTGAGTAGCAACCATTTGTCATTCATGACCCTGAAAAGGCACTCAATGTCTGAAGGTATGAACAGAAAGACTGATAAAACCTGGCTTAGAAGCCTGTAGGAATCATCAGTATTGAAGACTGGGGAAAAACCTATCTACCACAAACAATTACAGTTATTCTTTTTTATTASTATTTATTAGAGCAGAAGTTACAAACATGGGTAAGATCTTATGTAATGAAGGCAACATTTTCACATTAACTTAGTCAACCAACATGTAATAAATAAAGCATAATAAAATGAAAGCTGCAGTAATCAGTGTATTGAACTTTGAATGGTCCTCTAAATCTTCCTAAAGGACTTTGTCCAAAAGCAATTGTGGCTGTCTTCTAGATATAGCCAGCTGAATAAATATGGATATAACTGAAGCTCCTAGACTGCGTTTTCACGTTTTTATCTACATGCAGCACAACTCTGACAACATTTCACAATTCCTCTGGAAAGCACTTGTAAGCAAACTCATACTAAATAGCTATCTCACGATATGTGCCTTTGAAATCTTGTGAACAAACTGTCAACCTGCATTTACATGGGGACTGGCAGCAGGCTGACAAGCACTGCCCTTTCATTATTTAACACCCAGAGCTTTGCTTAGACAACCATTCAGATTCCTRGAAGCACTACATTGAGCATAAGTTCAGTGAAATCCTTCCTCCCAAAGACCAGCAAGTTTTCAGAAACACCTCTAGAATTGTAAATAAAAAACAGGCGGTTTTTTTAGTGTGCGTTTTATAGAAGATGAGATTTTTTTTTCACATTTGGAAATCTGTTACTTCTCAAAACTGAGTATAAATGTCCCTCCCACCTTCCAGTYCCATCATAACAATCTGATTGAGGAGGCACTTCACATGCTTGCTCCAGGATTGACAGTTACATTTTTTCCAATGACTTATTATTACTAAACACTGTAATTTATGCAATTCCCTGTAATGCTCCAAGATCTCAATCTGTGTCTTTTCAAATTCTTAGCCACTAGTCCATGAAAGCTGATCTGGCTCTGGGGAAAGTTTTGGTCCTCTGTTATCCAAAAGGCAAACACAGATTCTGCTTTTGTGGCGCACTACACCAGTTAGAAATTCTAACCAAAGGAATCACCTAAGCAAAAAAAAMCMAAAAWACTAACCCAGTATTTCATATACCTTTTAATGATCAAAGGGCTTTCTTCTCCCACTTCTGTGTAAAAACTTCAGAGCTATTATACAGTAGTTGTTCAGCATCCTCTTCTGGGCTCTGCTCCACAGAAAGTATCTGAGCAGGGATTTGTCTGAATTATCTCAAGAGGAAATAGAGGGCATCCTCTGACATCTGCATCCATCTCTCTTCTCAACATTAATTTCCTCTCATCTCCTGTAGATAAGGAAAAGTTACTCWAAATGAGTTTGTCAGGCAGGGAGGGAAAGGGAGGTGGCTGTGAGGTATCCACCAACCAACTGAAAGCMCAGTAAATTGTAAAAGGGCTTTAACAACAGCCAGTGGCAATCCTGTAAGACGATCGGRTTGATTTTACCCATGTAAAAATTCACTAACCTGAGACAGACCTTCCCACACAGCTGTGCCACACATTGAATTGTCTATCAATGCTTTAGCTGTTAGCATGCATGTTATTAACAAAATAGCCACCCGTCTGCTAATGCCCAGGACAGATACTGTGCTACCCAACTAAGTAGACAAGTATTACTCTTGAACTGCAGCTGTGTGTTTCAGAGGTAAACTGAACAAACCTCAAATTGCAGAGAAGTTGCACTGTTTTTTTTATGCCGTGCTTATACTTCTTAAAACCATTCACCACTGTAAAAACTGTGGCAACTTCACCTGCCACAGACCTATCAAATTCAATCCCCTKAGCTGTGGCATCCCTCTTTCTCACCTCTGCTCTGAAGGGTCTCCTGAAGAGGTGAGCCATCATGTGGGGTAACATCTGGTGCTGCCATAGAGGTGTGAAGGGTCTTGAATTTCACTTTTTTGTGCAACATTTTCTTACATTTTCTCTGTATCTTTCTGAGAGACTCCAGCTGCATGCAACTGTCCGTCTCTGAAAAGCCGCATTCATCAGACAAAAGATCAGAAGAAAGCTTTTTTCGCTTTTTCTTCACTTTATGAGCATTTCTCTCCTTTTCCCTGGATTGTCTTTCAGTTTTCTGTCCTTCATATCTTAATTTACTACTAGACCTCTTGCATGACTTTTTAAGCTTACATTTGTACTGCCCTGCCAAGTCCTCATGGACAGAGCTAGAACAGGAGTTACATTTGCTGACTTCCTTCTCTTGACCTTCCAGAGCTGCATTTTTATGGTAAAACAGTAAACTTCTTTCCCTGGCTSTTGCAGGCAAGCACCCTTTATTACAACTGCTGTGAATGTCTTCATACTTTCTTTCTGCTCTCTTCACTGAGCTGCCACATGTCTCTCTAAAGTACTCAGAATCACTGATCTCTTCCAACAAATCCTTTAATCTGTGAGCAGATCTAGATGTTCCATATGGTACAGTGCCTTCATCTCTACCATCTTCTCGTTTGAATTCCTTATCATGAGTAACAGCAGTGCACTCCAAAGAATGATTCAGTCCAGCATGTGGTAAGTTATCAACAGTGAGTGAGTCATTCCTCTGCACTTGCAGCTTTTTTGCAAGCTTGCCCCCATGGACCTTGCTTTCTAACACTTTGTCTGTTGACTGAAGTTCCCCAAGAGTGATCACCAGTCTATAATTACCATCACTACTACAATTTCTGTTGTGGAGGTTTTGTATAGAACTCACTTCTCTCAAGTGCTGACCATGTTTGTTACTCAAGCTGACGTCAAACCCACGACCATCCTCAGACACCACTCGCTTCCACCAGGACTTGTTCACAGTGGCTTTTGGCTCTAAGCAAACACGTGCATAGTGTGGTGTCTGATAGTAGTTTAGTAAATAATGGATGAATTCATCAGTCTCATAAACCTTTTGCTTTTTACAATCATCTTCCTCAGGCACTGTCTGTGTGTGATCTCCATCCAGCGCAGGGTGGTGCCTTCCATGGAGAGCTTCAATGACCCTGCCATCCTGGGTGACCGTGATCAGCAAAGGCCCGCAGCCAGAGGAGCTGCTCACATCTCTGCCAGCCAGTCCATCACAGCTCGGGGCTGGACAGGGATCATTCACAACTGTCCTGACTATATGACAAGTGGATGCACAGAAATGACTCACATCTCCTGCCTCACTACATAAATCACTAAATTTTTGGGTTAACTTTGGGCACTTAAATTCCTCCTTATGTTTCAACTCTTTGTGCGTACAATAAAGGGAATTAATCAGCTCCTGCTGTAAGTCTTTAAATGCTGTTTCAGAAAATGAATCGTCCTTCCTTACGCCCAGTGAAAGATCCACTTTTTGATTTGCCAACTGCAAAACCAAGAAAATAGAAATGTATTTAACACATCACCTTCATCATTAAGGAGGCCAATGTCAGATGTTTTGGGGCCCTAAAACTCATGCAGAATGGCAAGGGTACCCTCTGACTTCAATTCATAGTAAATTGCAGTAAATTTACTTCACAGACAGTAAATTTTCTTTAGAAATCTTTTACATTAAGGATTGGGGGAAATACACACTTGTTAAAAGCTGCAAACAAATTTTTCTCCACAAATAGTGAAGATAAAGCCATATTAGAAATTAAAACCCCTGTTTTCATTTGAAACTCTTTTTCTAGCCCAATGCACTAAACTAAACTAGCAAACATTAATCTGTCTGCAAAACACTCAAATTTTTATCACTTCTCTGCTGACTTTCTCAAGATTTTTTTGAATCAAACTGAAGTCTGATGATGAGTGCTTGCCAAGAAAAAGGAAGAGGCTATTAGAAATGCAACTGGCATAATCTGTGCCAATTTAATTCAGTCACYTGTAGACCTGAGACTGAAACCAGCAGAGACCATAATTTATGTCCCTATCCTAAAACTCCTTGATGCAACACTGGATTAAATCTAATAGAGCTGATATAGCCTTTCTAACGCTATTTTTTTGCTCAGTAAAGCACCAAAGGCAAAGTTTCTGGGTGAAAATGCACTACGTTTGCTCTCAGGGCAATACTGAGAGCAGATTGTCACAAGACATGGATCTCAGGCCTTCTCAGTGTTCAGGCAGCCCCAAAGCAGTCTTCTGAATAGCATCAAGATATCAAATGTCTAGTGAATTATTCAAGCTCTAATAAATACCCTTCAAAATTTAAAATATGTTTTAAAATAGTCTTACTTTCACACGATTTAACAGCACTGTAAGCAGTCTGACAGACTCCACTCTTCTCTGAGCTAGCAGGGATTTCCTTTCTTCCCATTCAGGCATATTCTCTGGCCACTGCTGTTCTTCAGCTGGTACCTTCTGCTGCTTTGGGGGATGTTTCTCATCTCCATCTATCTGCCTCTCTTCTCTCCTCTCGAGCTTAGCTTTCCTTTTCCTCTCTTGAACTTCTTTTCATCACCACGTCTTTTTCTAGGTAATTATCAATATGGGACAATTTAGATGACACTTGTTTTACATTTTGCATRCTGGGGAATTGGATGTAAGTCTTAGAAGTGCTAATAATAAGCAACCAGTTACCGAGAATCACACGTGGCTGACAAGGATTTCTATTTGCTTAAATAACATGTTTAAAAAAACATGGCACATAAATTACACACACACAAGGGGTCTCCACAGTTAGGAAGTTCTTTGTCTCTTCAAATGGTTTGTTTTCTTGGGTTTTCTTTCTAAGCACTGCCAAGACAACAGCATCACRTGATTGTTTGTCTCCAAGGACACAACTAATCATTTGGATCTAATTCTTAAATTGACAAATCTCCCCTACAGATTAGCATGAGGGTCCCATTTAAGAGGTATTACAAGAGTAATTCAGGGGTTATCACTGAGCAGGGCTTACTCTGAGCCAGGGCTCCTGCTCCTCACCCACCCCAGTGACAGGCTGGGGGTGCACAAGGAGTTGGGAGGGGACAGAGCCAGGACAGCTGATCCCAACTGACCCCAGGGATATCCCAGACCATATGGCCTCATGCTCAGCAATAAATCTGGGAGAGAAGGAGGAAGGGGAGGCATTTGGAGTGATGGTTTTTGTCTTCCCAAGTCAACAYTACTTGTGATGGAGCCCTGCTGAACACTTKYCTGKCCTGGGGAAGTGAGGAATTAATTCYGTGTTTTGCTTTCCTTGTGCRTGTGGCCTTTGCTTTACCTATGAAACTGTCTTGATCTCAACCCTTGAGTTTTCTCACTTTTACCTTTTTGATTCTACTCCTCATCCCACTGGGGAGAGGGAGAGGGAGTGAGCAGCTGTTGTAGGACTTAATTACCAGCTGAGGTTAAACCACAACAGGCTGTCACTACTTACTGGAAACTTTGCCCTGCAGAAAGTAGATCTACCAAATAATCAACATGACACATCACAAAAACCTCCAGAAAATTCAASGAACAGTGTTCACACAAACAAGTGTTTAAAAATAGTTACCAAAGAAGTAATTGAATAAGGACAAATTATCATTGGAAGCATAGCAGTACTTTTAGAGACATAGCATTAGAGTCACTATGCTCTGCATTCCAAGTGTTGGGGTTTTTTAAGGTGTATAACATGATTGATTACCAGTGACAGTAAAGGATGCCATCCAAACACATTATCTAAGGAATTAAAACTTCAATATACTACTATTACTCATATGGAAATTTAAGAACATTGCACTGAAGGTATCAGCAATAATACCAGAATGGATAAAGATAGAAAAGTATTCATTTTACAGCTTTGGATTTTTCAGTCAATTGGGAGGCATCTAGAAATGTACATCACAATAATTTTATTTCAGGGCATAAGTTCATTAATTTAAGATGTTGCAGCATAGAGCAATATAAAAAGCCCAGACACAGAACCTTAAGGAAYCAAGCCTCAGAGCAACAGCTCCCTGATTTCACCCTAGGCCCACAGAATCATAGTATAATCCCATCTGAAATGGACCTCAGGATATCTCCAGTCCAGCCTTTCTCATAATCCAGACCTCTCCATCTGATGCCTTACACACAGAATTATCACCCTGGTTTTCTTTCCAACATATAAATTAACAACTACACAGTATGATTTCAAGTCCTCCAACTCCTGTTTCCTCAAAGCCTGGGTTTTTACATGGCCACTCTTCCTGTATTTTACTTAGTATGAGGAAGTATAACAAGAAAATGGGACATTGTCTAAAAATATGCTCTCACCTTTCAACCCCCTCTCTTTTTTCCCCKTTTTTCGAACGTGCTCCTGTTCTTGCAGCTTTAGTCTTTCCAGGCTTCTCTGTCTTATGGCTCCTTCACTAAAAATGTCTGGTTGTGTCAAAAGCCACCTGTCACAGAAGAAGCAGAATCAGACTTAGCAGCCCAGTTTGCTGTGTATTTATACAAACACAGACAACCTGCTGAGCAAATGAGAGACCCCAGGTGACTACCAAACCACCACTACACTYGTGAGAATGCTTCTCTCTACCCTGACAAACCAGAACTTCTTAAGTTCATACTGGGTTGTCAATCAAGCTCAAATAGCCCGCTCTCCTCCTGCTGTGACATCAGGGGCTCACAATCTGACAGCATACCTTTGGCCAAACCCATTCCTGGTAGGCTCTTCTGGGGACTCAGTTCAGCATGTTCAGCACAGCATTCTTGGTTGCAGAAGTCATGCAATTCTGCCAAAACTAGAGTTCACTGACTCTTAGAGCAACATCTTTTGGATCAAATGCTTGTCTGCTTGCTTAAAAATTCATGGATTCTGTTGATGTGTGCTGCATTTCATCAGCTTCAAATGCCCAGATGTGAGAACATTAAAAGCAGACACTCAAGCAAATTGCATTGAGGTCTATCTACACTGAAAAAATAAGTAATAGGAAGTGTTATTTCCAGCACAGAGGTGTATTTCAGAGTCACAGTTTAGAAATTACCAGCTGGGAGAAAAAAATGAAACAGGATACACCCTAGTAAGTGCTTATAGAGGTAAACTAATAGGCTGCTGAAATTAAGCTTGCAGGTTGAACATTTTCTTTTATAATGCCACACTAAGCATAATACTTCAATGGATTCATCTCCCAACATATTTAAACAAAAAGGTACAGACAAGGGAATAGGTACCATTTTCTAGCCAAGAATCACCAGGTAGCTGCTACATCTACTTCTTATTTAACAATAAGAAACCAAGTATCTTTCAGAATCTGGTCAGTGAGATCATCTCCCAGTTTCCGTGCAAACTACACAGAAATATCAACAACCTTTAGCTTACCCAGACCAATTTTTCAGGAAATCAAAACAGTATAATGCTGGGTTTTGATTAAAGGACTTAAGTTCAGATACTTGAACTGCACATATCAGTATGCGTACATCTAGTACAAACAGGATAATCACACAGAGGTTTTTTGCCCCTCATATACTTAATTGTCCAAAACGTTTAAAGAGGCTTCCACTGGTTAGAAAGGACTTTTCAGGCCTAAATTCAAGGAAAAAGGAGAAGTTGGCAAACCACCATCTGTACCAGTTTCTTCCATAAAATCTCAGCACTTAGTTACAAGTAAAGCTTAGTGTATTTTAATGCTGTCCATATGCTGTATTTTTCTTTATGTTATAGCCACCATTTTAATATAAATACAGACTAAACCAAATGAAGGTGGGGAAAGACACCTATACAGAGAGAACTGCAATAGTGCCACATTAAAAGCTTCCACCAAAGAATCATGGAAAAGTTTGTAAGATGGTTCTCATAGGCTATAAACTATACTGCTAGTATTTGAAAAATGCCTATTTGCTTTCTRTACAGGAATGTACAAGAGAAGACAAGCACAGGAACCGTTTGGTAAAAAAGGATGACTACACTTTATTGAGAATGACTAAGAAAAAAAACCCACATATGTACTGGAGGAAAAGCTACTACAATTAACATTAAAATRCAAGAGCCAGGAATCTCTGGAAGCAGCAGCAGCACTGAATTGCTCCTCTTAGGGAACTGCTGCCAAATGCACTCAGAATTAACTGCAACTTTGTCAGGCWAGGCTGAATCTCTCAGGATTAATCTCTGCACACAGCTGTGTATGTATATAGACACACCTTCAGGGTCTCATATAAGCAAAACAGATATACAAAGTGCTTTCTACAAAACTGAAGCAGTGAGTAATCTCTAGAGTCCTTTCTGCCCACAGTGCATTAAGATAAAGAGCTTTCTAAATCTTTCAATAAAGTTAGTGCCAACTACACTTCTTGCACCACACCAAGAYTTGTGGTGCAGCAGCTTAAAACATCCAGGACACTGCTGTTGCAACCTGTAGAGATATGAAAGCCAAGCCTGATGTACCCAAAGAAGACCACCTGATGTACCCAAAATATTGTTCTGTTTTGCAAGTACATCTTGTATTAAACCAACACATATATTATCCTGCCCTTGCAAATCTTCTTACATCCTTACACCATCATGGCTACAACATGTTCCTRCTACTGTAATAAATCACCTAAAAGCCCTAAACTCTCTTCATAGAGCTGAGGAAGCTATTGTGGTTTGACAGTGCACACCATTATTCTTGCTCTTCCCCACTTGTCTTCATAGCCAGGAGCTCTTCAAGCATCAGAAATTCATTTCTCACCACTTAGCTGCATACAAAGCACAGAATTATTTACTGGCTGATCCACTGAATTGCTGCTCAGCAGCATGGCCTTTTGGAATCAACCCTGACATATCAATAAGCCACTATCTTAACTTTTAGATTTTAATTGTTGCAACTGATAAATCACAAGGAATTTGACATTCAACCTCTTCACCAATTACTATATCCTTTTAGCCACAGTAATACAAATTGGAACACACCTACCCTTGCACTAGGGTTTACTGCATAACTGTACGCTGAACTCTCCTTATCTTACAACATCCTAAAATGTGTCACCTAAGTTCATACTTTAAAACAAAACTACACTTTAGRGAAACATTAACAGCCTGGCAATATCCAACCTGCAACACTCACATAGTCCATATGAGCAACATGCAAGTAGTAGGAATAAATGTTCCAAAGATGTCCCTCACATTTGCTCACTGTACTGCTAACTCCAACAGCTCTTATCATCCCCAGTTTCTCAGCTGGGTCACCCATGCCAGGCCCTGGGCCCTCACAACAGTTTCAGAGACCATACTACCACCCAGCTCAGGAAAGAGGGTTATCTTGAAGAAAAAAAAAATTGTATTTCATCAGGTCACTTTTCAGACATTTGGTTTCCCTGCTCTCATGCACAGCGAGGGTTCTGAGCAGCGCTGAAGGCAAGCTCGAGGYAGAGGAAATACCTTAATTCTACAGAGGTTGGTGTGCAGGAGCACTACAAGCTAATGCAATGTGGCAAGTGTATGTATTGATCCACAGTAGAAGAAAGTTTATCACGCAGGGGAAAAAAGCTGGGTTTGTTTAGCCTAGAGAAAAGAAGGCTCAGGGGAGACTTTATGGCTTTCTACAATCACCTGAAAGGAGGTGGGATCSAGGTGGTGGTCAGTCCCTCTGTCAMGTAACATGAAAGGAAATGGCCTCAAATTGCATCAGAGGAGSTTTAGATTGGATATTAGGAAAAACTTCTCCACTGAAAAGCTGATCAGGCATTGGAAGAGGCTGGAATCACCATCCCTGGACGCCTTCAAAAGGTTTGTGGATGTGGCACTTGAGGACATGGTTTAGCAGTAATGGTACTGGTTAGACTCCGTAATCTTAGAGGTCTTTTCCAACCCTAGTGATTCTATGACAAGCATTTACCAGAAAAAAAAGTCACTTGGAAAAGTTTAAAGAAGAGCTTTAAACTGATTTTTAATATATGAGATTAGTTTATCCAGCTTGCCCTGTGAAAAATATACTGAAAAGGAGCGATGATCRGAAATGCCGCTGCTTTCACGAATATTGCAAGAAAAGGGGCGTTCTAAAGCGGACGCTCCCAGCACCGCTGTGCTCCACACTGCCGGTGTGAGGTGGGGACRGAGCGAATCGCCAGCCCCAGCCCAAGGGACGGAGCCGCCCAAGGCCGCGGTGCCCCGAGCTCCGGCAGCGCAGCGAGCCGGGTCCCGGCAGCGCCGGCCGAGGGCAGCCCGGCAGGCAGGGCCCAGCCCCCGGCAGCTTCCGAGGGAGCTGTGACACCACAACCGGGGGGCACCGCTCCCCCGCCCCGGCTGCGAGCCCCGGGCCGGCGCGGGCCCAGCTGGAGCTGCCCGAGCTCCGCGGCGGCAGAGCCGGGCCGGGC